TATATATATATATATATATATATATATATATATAGTGCACGGCATGTGGTTCGAGCGAATTTTGTGCGAAGTAGTAAAGCCAAATTTTATGCTTTCGCTACATGCGTATTCCGTCTGTCGAAGTATAGTCTACATGCATAACTACTGCTTGGATGCCATAGATGCCGTTATTTGTGTTGGCATACGCATATACATCTCATGCGTGTACACTTGGAGTTGTGACTACATAGCCATTCTTGCGTTGTTCCCGCTAACGAGCAAGATGTATGGTGTGCTATGTTCGAGAAAAGCTAGCCTCCTCCTGGCCACTGACCCCAGAAGTCTGCTGCACAGGCATACAGATCTAGGGATATAGGATTTAGGGAATTCATGGCCTGGGGCGGTTTTATTGGGTTCATTATTTTCAGGGAAATGAAGATGAAGATATATATATGGAAATGAGCCCCCTCGGTTCTGGTTCTCCATCTCCACCAACCATTGTCCGGCTGCTGTTTGAGTCTACTCACTTCCCTTGTCATTCCCTCTATTTGCCTCCCCATTTTTGCATGTCTGTTTAGGAGGGATTCCGGCCTCTTTATGTCTCTGTCTGTGGTTGCGTAATTGCGTGTTTGTTTGTGTGCTCTTTCGTTGGTCTGATTGCTGGGTTGGCTGCCGGCTTGTTCGTTTTCCTTGGTTTGTTTGCTTATTTGGTTGCTGCCGTGCGTCACAGTTGGTCTCACTTTTCAGTTGCATGCGTTGGGCCGTAGGGTCCAGGGCCGATCGATGCAGCAGTGTGTGCTGCTGTATCATGTGGTTCATTTTTGTTGCTCAAAATTATCTTGACTTCTACTTTTCCACGTTATAACATGCGATGTAGCTGTGTGCATACACGTTTTTTCTTGTACGGACGCGAATGTATGGGTGTATGCGCGTGTGCACATATACCTTTGTCATGTGTGTACAGTATATTCGTATATATGCATATCCTACTTGCACAGTATTGAGTGGAAGTTTCGCTGGAATTTGCCGTTGTTTTTATCATTTATTCCTGCAGCCTGCGGAGCAGCAGCTGACAATGAAGGCAATGCAATATGCAGCTCTGCTGACTCCGGTATGAAGGAGTGTGCATGCTGTTTTAAGCTTTGTTTGTTGTGAAGCCTTTGGCTCCCTCGTTTGCCCCAATTCTTTTGCATCGACTGTCTCACGCTTCTCATTTGGTGTTGCCGGCTCTGTGGCCATTGCACTTTTATATACTTACGGTAGTTGAGGCAATAAATCATAAAAGTGTATGTGTGGAAGCGTGTCGAGCATGTTTGTACTGAGCTAGCACACGGTTGCTAGATGCATGCTTCAGATGAGCATGGACCCACGGCGTATGTGGATGAATATATATGCGTTGTTGTGTGCATTCCGTTTTTCGTAGAGCGTAGGTTCCGTGCCTGTGTAGTAGCTGCATCCTTTCGATGTGTTGTTTGTGGCGTGCAGCAAGACGAACCTACCCAAATGGAGACGAAGAGCATTGGAGGACTACCAAGCCAACCGCTTCTTATTTTTCATGAGGTGAGCTCATGAACAGCTTTGAGCGGCTGCGATATTAGTGCTGCTAGGGCTACTGGCCCATAGGGACATGACGAGCGTTCCGCTCACAGACGCTTCTGAAACGAAACGGCAGACAACAATGGGAGTAGATAGAAGGAAGTACAGTCAGGAACTATCCCTACTCTCTCCGCAATACACGGCAGGAGCAGACGAGGATGTCGTTCAGCGTGGGGAGCAAGAGAGCATTTCCTTATTGTTTCTCATTCCATAGCCTGCTAGACATCCTCTTTTCTCATTTCGTGCAGTTTTCAACTTCCCCTGGGAGAGGAGGCATGGATTCTCTCTTACTGTTGAGGGGGCTGTTTGAGGTGAGGGCTTGCTTTCGACTTGGGTGTCTGGCGTTTTCTCGTGGCTTTTCGAATGACCACTGTTTTAGGGATCGCTGCTGCTGTCGGCGCTGGCCCCTCCCCCCGCACTGGTGTTGCTGCTGTTGCCATTTCGCATGCTCCGCTTGGGTTGGTGCATGCAATTGCCTTTACAGGTCCTGCTGGTCATTTATTTTATTTGTATCTGTTTACATGTTTGTATACACTTCCGTGTGGCCGGTGTGTAATCAGAGGGGCCGAGGTGATCTAGGAAACACGACAGACTCTATGGCAAGGGTAAGTCACAGCGGTGAGGTGAATGTCCATTGTCTTTGGGTTGGGGATTTATTTGCTAAGACATAGAGTTTGGGGCTTGGGGCATGTGAAACACGCCAGCCGGGGTTGTTGCTTACTACCGGCAGACTTTTTCAGCAGGCGGAGCTACTTATTCGCCTCATCAGGCTTCCATGGAACTAACTTGGAACTGTACGGGACGGTGATTTATTGTTTTGTGCCTGCGTGCATACAATGATGCAGCCGGATGTGCCACTTGAGGGTGGCCAAACAACAACCGAACAAGGCGACGACGACAGCGAGTACATGGACTTTGACGATATCGAGAGGATCTTGGTAAAGCACACGATCCGACATTACGCAGATCATACAAATGTCACACTTGCTGTGACAATGTCAGTGGTTGACGGTGGTTGCATTCTGGAAGTTATGCACGTTGCTACCTTACAGTGTCGATCAACAGTAGGCGATTGTTGACTTTGTTCGCTTCTGGAGACTCGTGCCATTTGCTAAGCCTAGAGTTCCATCGTGTCGTGTGTTTTATTTCAGCAACAGCAGGGGAGCGAACGTACGCCCGAGTCGGTTCACCAGCGTTTCCTGGAGAGGGGACTCATTTATGTAGGGGGCAGTGGTACACGGGTGAGTGCTCTTCATCCTCTGGAATTCCTTTTTCCATCGTAGGGATGTGGGGCATTTCGTTTGGCTCATGGCACTGCTCCAACACCAACGGTCTAGTGTATCAATGCCTTGCATTTGTATGGTGCCTATGCTTTGTTTTCAAACGGTGGTGGGCTGTCTTCGAAAGCTTGTTTGCCTCATTTGGGTGTGTCGGCCCACTGTGTTCTACCAGGGTTTGCTCCCGCAGAATGTAGCTGTAAGGCGATCCTGGTAAATGTAGCCTGAAATGTAGCAACTGGTACTCGTGTAGTGAACGATCAGCGGGCCAGTTGTGAATCTCGGTTTATGCAAAATGAGGAACGGGGAGTAGGTGGGAACAGCACAGTGAAGGTGTGATTCGCCGTGTTGGCGCATCCAATGTCTTTGACTGGAACAAAAGTATGCTCTGCTGCTGGGATGTAGGGGGGGATGTTCCCCGATGTTGCAAGATCTTCTTCGCCCGTACCGGGCCATGATGCAATGCTGGCGCCTCCAAGTGTAGTTGTAACGCCTCCATATTTCACTCATACAGGCGTAGGCTTCAATGTTTTGCTTGAATACTCACAGCATTGCAGTTACGCCTCTGCTCAGGCCTTCTGCAGTCCTCTCTTTATGCGGCCGGCCGGATAATACTCATTTTGTAGTGGAAGTAGCATGGCTACTACCCTGGAAGCTGGTCGTCTTGCTTCTTCGCCTGTTGCTGCTAAGACGCTAGCGGTACTTAAGAACAAGACGTTTTCGTTCGGGGTTTGTGTTGTGATGCAGGCGACCGGCCGAGAAGGTGGTGCAACGCCTTTACTGTCTGATGCCGATCCACAGCCGACGCCTGAAGGGGCTAGTGGGGGGACTTCCAGTCCTGAAGAGGTACTGCATGCATCCTTTACCCTGCACGCAAGCATGATGCCTGCAGCAGCTTGCTGCCTACCGCTGTTAGATGTTGCGGCACGAAATAGAGCCGAGTGGGATCCGTGTCATGTGAACGGCTGCGTTCATACGCAGACACAAACTAGAAGGCGTAGAAGGGCTGACTCTCCTCTACCGGACCCTCCAAGCAAACCTGTTTGGGGTATTTTTGGAAGCACAAAGCAAAGGTCCAAAAGCCTTGGAGAGGTGACGTTCATCTCCCGGGACTGCTCTTTTTACATGCCCTTTTCAGCTACTACTGCATGTTACTAGTAGCTCGTAGACAAGCACCGCACCTAGAACAGGCAGCGCAAATGGAAAAAGAGGAATAAGAGTTCTTGCATTGGGTTTGGGACGCCTGTTCCTTGTTTGAGCTTGGGTGGTGGTACGTATGCAGACATCTTCGACATCGTCCAGCGAGGTTCAAGGAGTACGTGTTACACATGAATCCTGCGATCCCTGCTGCCCGTTGTCTACATGCATGGCTTTTAGGCACCGCTGATATTTCATATTGTTCTTAAGCTTTGGTCATGACGCATTTGCTGAGTACCCGGAGGAGGTGCTCATTGAACCACTTCTATGGAGTGGGGACACACAACGACACAATTCACGCTGCGTGGCACATTTCACAAGTTAAATGCGGGACCCTGATGGATATTTGGTGTGTTGCGGCGAAGCCACTGACCCCAGTGCCTACATCTGGTCGTTCCAGCCCTCGGACACGTACTCCACCTGGTAGCAGCATCTGGGAAGAAGTACGTTCGATCTTTCTTGGTTTATCTTAGTGCCAGCTCCTGTTCTACAGACACGTCGTGCAGTACTGCCTGTAGAGGTGTCAAGACGAAACAATTTAAGCCGTGCTCTCGAATCATTGCTTGTGCCACTGCTTTTGGCTCAGGGGGATGGTGGACCAATATCTGGTGCGGGGGAAGGAAGATCGGTGAGAATTCATGCGATGCAGGTGCAGCAGGGGCTTCCTTTCGCTGTTAAAGGGATGCACAGGCTTTTCCCAGCATAAGCATGCGTTTTTGTTTTGAAAGTGCCGTTTGCATGAACAGTAATCCCCCTACTCTCGATGAATTTTTCCTGGTAGTTCAGCAGATATTGGGTAACACTGGGGCGTATCGTAATCTTCTTTTTGGCAACGTGAGGTGTACCGAAGTTCAGACTATCATGTTTGCTGCTCATGCTTGTTCTAGTTTTCTTGTGCGTATTGTGGCTGGCTGCACAGCCTTCTCGGAGGGCTCGAACACCAAATTGGCTTCCCGTAAGTTTATTGAAGGCGTAGGGATCCTTCGCATATGTGTGACCGCATAACAAATGCGGCCCTTGTAGTAAATACTTATGAAAAGCTACAGGCACGGCTGCCTCCTAACACTTCTGGCCGAGTGATGTTTCTTGGATGTGAAGGAGAGGATATTCTCCAAGTAGATGGCTACTGTGGGATTCGAAGCCATTGGCCACATTATCTTTACTGCTGGTGTTACAACCACCACAGTGCAGAGCTTGTTTCTGCAAGCTCTGCACTGTGGTGGCTGCTTGGTTGCTCTCGGGGGTAGAATATCTGCTGCGAGGTTCATACCTAACTGGAGCACGAGAGGGCATCGCGCAGTGGACACCTGCTGTCCCATTCCGCTTTTTCAGGTTCCTTCCGTGCAAGGAGGCAGGCGCCGCACGCGCAGCGAAGGTGTCGAAGCCTACCCCCCAGAAGTAGTACCGCCCCGGCCTTCTTCAGTAGGTCTTGTGTGCATTCAAAAGTGTAGGAGCTTAATCCTCTCGTTGGGTGTCACCGACATCTCACCGACGAGCGTTTGCCTAGTGTGGGCTTGCTGTGATATGCGGCTTTGGAATAGACAAGCGGGCTTGAACGTTTGAAGGCTTCTTTGAAGACTTTGTCGGTACGTGACACTACACCGCAGCAAATAACTGGGACGTGGTACCCGCAGTTGCTACGTTGCGCTTCGTTGCGCCCACCCTGTAACCTTCGGCGTGCTTCCGCATAGGGGATTTTCTGCCATGCAGATTGTGTTGTTTTTGTTCAGTTGAGGAGGCGCAGGAGCAGGGCGTCTGATGAGGGCGAGGGGGCGCAAGGAAAGCAAAGTTCTTCAGAAGAGAAAAAGGTGATAGATAGAGTATAACCTGACGTCGTTTCTAACGGAGCAGCCTATTTTCCTTCCACACCACCCTGTGTTCGCTAGCGAAACTTAACGCCCGCTGCAAAACCTGAAATGCTGACAGCTGCGGAAACTTAGTAGAATAGTAGAATTCCTTTAAACTCCAGTACATCGAGCCGATCCATTTGTCTGTGAAGTTCCATAGAACAGAGCGCCGGAAGGCGGACGCTGATGATGAACGCAACTCCTGTTGAGTTCGACAATCTGTGAGCAGAGTTCTTTGTGTATCCTTCAAGCATTTGATGTGTTGTTATCCTGCTGTTTTCATAGGAGTGAAAGGTGCAGTCTGCTAATAGACTGTGAGGGAGGTAGATTGCGAGGAAGGTTGAGAAGAGAGGGATACATAGTAGGCTGATGTGCATGGCTCGTCTGAAACCTGAAAGCATTTGAGATGTCTTGGGCCTTGAAACGGGAGAAGAGGAGCTTGTAGGATGTGCGCTTTTTGACATGTGGAGTGGAGCATTTGAGAGAGCCGAAGTATCCGCACTGTACTGCAGTACTGATAGTTTGGTTGGCATGGCACTTCTGCGCGAATTGTTCACCTACTATTCCCGTTCCCGGAGGAGCAGTGCAGTGGACACTGAATTCAATCGATTTGATGTGCAATTTCAGCTGCAGAAGCGTTCAATTTGGCGATAGGCTGTGAAGCTGCAGCAATGCCAGGTGAACATCTATGACAAGTCTCAACAAAGTCTTGGGAGTTTTTATAGCTACTTGTGGGGACGTAGTTCTCAAGTGCACCGACGAAGGGGCAACTGCGAATTCCCGATTCCTGTTAACGACAAGCGCTGTACCGGCAGCAGCTGAAGCAAGCGTCGGTGGCATCCGCTGAATGCATGGCATTGCTTGTTAAACCGAATCCGTGTGACCGTTGGGAACTGGGGTTCTATGCATACATAACCTTGTAGGTGACGCATCTTGTGGTAGTTAACTACATTGTTTACTGAACCCAGAAACTTATGTGCCTAAGCTGTTCGTTAGGGCGGCTGCAGTATTTCCATGCCAGCCGCCTTCTCGGAAAAGAGGGAAAGTGAACGAGATACCTGACACAACCGCAGGGCGGCTGTTTCCAAAAAAACTGCCTATTCTTGCGGTTCCGTTGGCCAGTGTCAATCCCTTCTTGTCGCGCCTACGGTTGCGTGCACCACTTCCAGGATGAGTTGACTATTTCTCAATGAACAGGCTTCGTTCTCGATAAACAGGCAGATGGGCTTAGCCGCAGGGACGTTGCGGAGAAGCGTCGGTCGACGCCCGCGTTGTATTCATCCCGCAAACCAGCTCATTAAAAATGCCTTGGCATCCTCGTGGCTGCCGAATCGCAGTGATTTGCGTGGTCCCCTTCAAAACCTGTTTTCTTCTCTGCTCTGTGGGAGCTGTCAACAGTACAACAAAGGACATGCAAATGCAGCAGTCAGCTCCCAGCCTATACCCGACGAGTGCGCAGAACTTCCAGTTGCACAATATTACTCCTGCAGAAGGGTTGATGCTCTAGCGCAGATTCTATGGAATGAATGTACCCTCCCACCGTATAGTATCACGCGCCGTACACAACGACCGGTGCCATAGCCTTCCTACCTTTCGTAAGCAACAATAATTACGATGAGAGTTCGCAGCCTTACCCTGCAGCATCACAAATGTAGGTTACGTGAGCGCTGTCTGCAGAGGCTGTTGATGGTGTGGCTTACAGCAGCCAGTTCTTTCTTCCTCGTGCTTTAGGCTATGCCAACGAAGAATGAGAGAACTAGCTCAGTTTTGCTGTGTAACCCTACAATAATATGGCGCGGCCCTGATAAATTTGTTAGTCAGGACAACGATCCCAGATGGGCGTGCACGTGGGGCTATGGGCCCCCCCTACAGAAAGGGCTCCCGTTCCGTTTTCCAAAAAAAAAAAGTATATTAAACCTTCGGCATTAAACTCCGTTGCAGAAAGGTTGTCAGCGGGCGACACGACCGACACGACAGGGCGACAGTACGTACAATAGGGCTTTCTACTTGTAAACAAAGATTCCGCAGTGACGCGCACGAGTAATGTTTTCAATACGAGAAATTGCTCAATCTCACCGGTCGCTGTTGTATGTCGGGCCAGTTGCTCTTATACTTCGTCCTTTATTTACTGTTCTGCCCGACGTCAGGTGTTCTGCCCAGCTGTTAACATGGCGCGATGCAGATAATAACTAGCTGCATACATTTCTGGGTAGCAATTGATTGCTGTTATCCACATTCTGGGGCTACTTGCAAAGGCAGAAGTGCGCCATCAGTGCCTCATCATCGGGGTGAGGCGCACTGGCGGGGATGACGGGTGAGGCCGACCAGGTCGCTTGCATAGCTCATGCCTCCAATATTGCAGTGAATAAGGACAGCTAATTAGACTGGGGGCCGCTAGACAGATCAAGTGACCCTTGACGGCCCCTCGCTTGTTCCGCGCCCCCTAGAAGACGTTCTCATGTGTGAACCCTTTGTCACATTCCGTAGTAGTAGGCCAGGTCTGGCGACACCTTAGTCATCTGCCGAAAGAGTTGTGCTGCTGAATCAGTCTCCCCCTCCTCCGCAAGCAGCTGCGCCGTCTGCCACAGAGCGAAGGCCTTCTGGTCTGCAGGGCTTGTGAAGAGAGGCTCCTGGGAAAGAATAAATACAAACGAACACGCAAAAACCCAAGAATTAGTAACTACAAACACTCATCCCACCAACCCACTAGACAGCGGCACCGGTATCAGCACAACCTTGGAAAACGTTGAACAAAATAACCGAACAGCAAAACAAACAAGCAAACAACAACAGCACTGTTTACACTTCCTAAGCCTAGGCTCCAGAAGAAAAAGATCTTGGAGATTCAGGGCTGCAGGGGCTATGCGCAGGCGTTACCTTCCTCCTGTACATGATGTCTGTCCGTATTATGTACTTTACAGCCCCTTTGCCAACTGGCCGTCCCTCATGCATCTACAAACCAAGCAGGGATCCAGGCACACGCAAGTACGCACACCGCTGTCTCGCGAACAACAAAAAGAGCATGATGCAGAAACAACAAATCTAGCGCAAAAGCGTTCCAATCGCCTTGCCTGGGTGTGATAGAAGAGCAGCGCGTTGCCTACTTCCGCCTTACAGTTGAACACCACACACTGCGGGTCGGAAACAAACCTGCAACGAGCACACTAAACACACCCCTAGCGCTCCTCAGTTTACCAGCAGCTACTGCTCCTTTGTTCACCTCAAGAGCATACGAACTTTCGTCGTCCTCTGTCTCCTCGATCGCTCTCTGTATGCATTATTTGTCACCCTACTTTGACTATTGTGCGGTGCACACGCAACCCCTACTCCCCTCACCTCCCCGCTGAGTCTGTCTTGAAGGGCAGTTCCTTTTGCAAATCGCTTAAGATGGTTGTCTCCCCTCCACCTGAACAGCCAGGCACCAGCAAGAAAGTGTACTCACGCGAGCGTCTTCCTCATGGCGTTACCTGTGTTAGCGGGTTGCCTGTGTAGACTACATTTTTACTAGATACTAAGGAGATGCCTTTACATGCCATACTGGATATATAACAGTACACCATCTGCATGCCTTTTGCATCGATGTGCACTTGCTTGCATACCCGTAGTTGCTTAGCTACTATATATATACTATATCTACAGAACTGTATATATATATATATATA